GTGTGTGTGTGTGTGTGTGAGTGTGTGTGTGTGTGTGAGGGGCGGGTCGTGAAGCTCCGCCGCTCGAACAAGAACAGCGGGATCCGGGGATCCAGAGCAGGTCCAGAGCAGAACCGGACTCTAACACTTCTGAAGCTGACACGGTTTAGCATGTTTAAACTGTAGTTATGAACTTGAGCTGAAGTTTCTCGCTCTGTGCGGATTTACAGTAGAACTGCGACCTTTGGCATCGTGGGTGAGAAAACAACTTTATTCTGTTTGAATAGAAATGCACGAACTCTCATGAGACGTGCTGTAAATTTACATTTAAAAAGTGATGTTTAAGTTACACGATTTATGATGCTGTTATATTCCAAGAACGAGAATAAAAAAAGAAGTATTTTTCGGTTGTCGTGATTGTTAGCTCTGATCACATCTGGACCAGCAGTGTGCGAGAAACAGATATTAATAGAAACGCATTCTGTCTTGTAGAGGTCAGCGAAATATGCTTGATGATCGGTGATTTATTTTAGATTTGCTTCATAATAATATTGAAATATTTAGCAAAGCGAGTGAAGCAGTCTGGTATCCGAAGATCTCAAACACTCTAAACTTTATCTCGACATCTCGTTGTCCTTCAGAGATTTAAGTCCAGTTTAATATTAGGTTAGAGTCACTGGTGCACTTCAGGAACGCTTTCAGAGATCAATGTCCAGTCGAGCTGTCTGTCGCTCCAGAGGGCTCTCGGCTCGGCTCGTGGTTTTCTGTGATTCTAGATGAATATTAGCCTATGCATAGATTTGTTTCATAGAAATATACGTGTTTTTATGACCGCTTGTTTAAATAGCGACAGAGAACGGCACGGGACAAAACTCCACTGAAGAAATAAACCTTTATCCTATAATAATAATAATAATAACCAAAAGAAGGCAAAAAATAAATAAATCTGGGTATAGTAAAATTATTTCAGCATGAACAGATGTTTTGCATGCGAGACAATTATAAAAAGAGAATAATAAATGCTGCAAAATATATTTCCTGTAGCCTATATTTTTTTCCAGGTAGCTATCATAATTTGAGGAAAGGAAAAACTTTGTAAAAAGTAAGTTTCATGCCTCGGTGTGCTTGTGTTTTGTCAGGATCCTGCTGGAGCTCGGTTCTGAGATGGGCAGTAAAGCGTTACCGGCGCCGGTCCCGCTGCACCCCGCGCTGCAGCTCAACTTCTCGCTCCTGCAGACGCTCAACGCGCTCCCCGCCGCCGCGGACCCTCGGTACGGCCTGAGCTCGCTCCAAGCCCTGCAGATGAACCACTGGAGCCTGGGCTACCCGCCCGTTCAGGGCCTCGTGGACCCGCGCTTCGCCTTCTCCGCCGCTCTGCCGTTCGCCGCGCACCTCTTCCACCCCAAACACGGATCCGCGCTGCACAAGGACAGACCCAGGTTCGACTTCGCGAACCTCGCGGCGGCGGCCACGCAGCAGGATCCGCCCAAACCGGGCGAGCTGGCCAAACTCTCCCCGGAGCGCAAGCCCGCGCGCGGCAGACTCCCGTCCAAAAGCAAAAAGGAATTTATCTGTAAGTTTTGCGGGAGACACTTCACCAAATCCTACAACCTGCTGATCCACGAGCGCACACACACCGACGAGCGGCCCTACACCTGCGACATCTGCCACAAAGCGTTCCGGAGACAAGACCACCTGCGAGACCACAGGTGAGCTGAGAGAGAGAGTGTGTGTGAGTGTGTGTGTGAGAGAGAGTGTGTGTGAGTGTGTGTGTGAGAGAGAGTGTGTGTGAGTGTGTGTGTGAGAGAGAGTGTGTGTGAGTGTGTGTGTGAGAGAGAGTGTGTGTGAGTGTGTGTGTGAGAGAGAGTGTGTGTGAGTGTGTGTGTGAGAGAGAGTGTGT